AAGCCAGGCTTCGCCAAGCAAAATCTTCAGCGTCGTTATTTCGGGGCTGGTTAGTTTGCGGGCACAATGCAGATGCCCCTGCTTCTCCGGGGCGGAACGCTTCTGCCGCCGGTACAGGTTTCCAACCGGAGCACGTCGGGCGCGCTCGATCCGCCCAATCAGCGGGCCAGTCGGCCGGGAGGCGGGACCGCGAGCGCGCCTTCTTCCGGAGCGCGCCCTCGCGCGGCTCGGCCGGTGCTCCCTGTCATGGCGGAGGTGGTTTTAGTTTCTTAGGCAGGTGCGCTCCCTTCCGAAGGCGGTGGCTGAAGCCTCCAGGCCCTTCCGGGGTGGTGGCCGCAGGATTCCTGGCCTTCCCTCGCCGTAGTGGTTGTCTCTGGGCCGGAATTTCACCTGGGTGTGCACATTGGCCAGGGCTGAGGGGCGTCGCACCTCCCCGACACTCAGACCAAGGCCTTGGCGACCGGCACTGCCAGGTCTTCGCTGTTACTGGCTCAGCTGCGTGGCTTCCTATTCACATTCAGAAACGACGACGAGCTAGGCCCGCACCCAAAGGCGTCCACCCTTTGGCGGGGCTGCAAATCAGACAGGAATTTGGGGAGAAACGATACCACCTCGCCGTCCGGAGCCAGGCTGGTTGCTACTGGTTGCCAAGAGGCATCAATGAAAGCTCTGACTCTGCTGGAAGCTGCTGCAGCTGGGGCACCTGCAAGCCGGGTTTCGGCATATTGATGACCCTGTCCAAGAATGAAGACCTGCCTGTAGCAGCACAATTTACAATATTACAACAGCTAAGATTTGGAAACAGCCTAAGTGCCCATCAGCAGATCAGTGGATTAAAAACTGTGGTACATCTACACAATGGAATACTACGCTGCTGTAAAAAAGAAGGAACTCTTACATTTGCAACAGCATGGATGGACCTGGAGAGCATTATGCTAAGCGAAATAAGCCAGTCAGAGAAAGATAAATATCACATGATCTCACTCATATGTGGGATATAATGAACAACATAAATTGGTGAACAAAAACAGATCCAGAGGAAAAAAATATTTTAGAATATAATAGAAGTAATCCTGTTATTTGCAGATTTTTAATATTTCCTACAACTTGTGATATTATGTTAGTACAGTTTTGGTAATATTTCCTACAACTTGTGATATTATGTTAGTACAGTTTTGGTAGTAATTATAGTTAAAATCTTTTCTTGAAATATTAACGTTTATTGCATGTAACATTGTATTTCAAATCATTTTTCTTGAAATATTAATGTTTATTGCATGTAAATGGTTATTTTGTATATACACTCTGGTAATAGATTTATTATGTATATTGTAAAAAGTCAAATGAAATAAAAAAAAGAAAGCCATTGGAGGGCTTAAATACAGGGAAAAAAGAAATATAAAGAAGACAAAATAAATGAACAAACAAAACAGAAACAAACTCATAGATACTGAGAACAAATTGTTGGCAGCCAGATGAAAGGGATGGGGAGCTGGGGGAAAACAGTGAAAGGATTAAGTCAAATTAGCAGTTATAAAATAGGGATATAAAGTACAGCATAGAGAATATAGTCAGTAATATTGTCATAATGTTATTACAATATTGAATTATCAGGGGATCAATCACTTTGTCCTATATAACAAAAGAGTAATATGCAAACTGACCCTAACAGCAGAACGATTGGGAATGACTGGTCACTATGACACACACTGACCACCAGGGGGCAGACGCTCAATGCAGGAGCTGCCCCCTGGTGGTCAGTGCGCTCCCACAGGGGAGCTCTGCTCAGCCACAAGCCAGGCTGACGGCTGCCAGTACAGCAGTGGTGGTGGGAGCCTCTCCCGCCTCCTCAGCAGCGCTAAGGATGTCTGACTGCAGCTTAGGCCTGCTCCCCGCTGGCAAGTGGACACCCCCCGAGGGCTGCCGGGCTGCCAGAGGGATGTCTGACTGACAGCTTGGGACCGATCCCCCAGGGAGCGTGCCTAAGCCAGCTGGTGGACATCCTCCGAGGGGTCCCAGACTGCAAGAGGGCATAGACCGGGCTGAGGGACCCCCGCCCCCGAGTGCACAAATTTTTGTACACCGGGCCTCTAGTAAGTCATATAAATGTCTATGCTGTATATCTAAAACTACTAATATTGAATGTCAACTAATTGAAAAAATGTCATTTTAATTTTAAAAAGTCAAACATGTTTAACAAGTTAAAAAAAATCACTGCAAGGTACACTTTAAAATGTACGGGAATAGAATGTGAATTGTGTCTCAATAAAAGGAGAAATGCAGTAATAGGAAAAAAATAAGAAAAGAACGAAGACCCCAAGTGAGAGTTCCGGGCTGCAACCAACAGCCAGAAGATGGCACAACTCTCACCGGGCACTGAGCTCTGGGAGCAGCACTACCCGGATGTTTCTTTGGTCATTTACAGCTCCGGGAGGCCTAGCAACATTTCAAAACTGAAGGGTTGCGCTGTGTTCCTGTATCTGAAGTTCCTGCTGCAACTAAGTTCAACCAAGCTGCAACTAAGGGGTAACGCAGTTCATGGGTTCCCTAACTTCCTAGATTTGTTTAGAAAATGCTGTTAATTTAACCGCACTGGAAATAATGTATATACATTTTACCTTTGTTCAAAAGAAATCAGCCTGTTAACTCCAGTGTTGCACTTCAAAGGCTGTTATTTATGAAACAAAGTTGTTCTTTACCCACAAACATTTTTATTAGCTTCTAAGAATCTCAGGTTGGCACCTTTCGCCAACAGGCATCTTGTTGCCAAGCGTGACATGGACTATATCAACAACAACAAAGCAGAGTGGGGCAAGACCAGAAAGGTGCTTGGTGTTCTCTCTTTCCAGTGTACTCCCTGAGTGCTTCCTGCCCAAACCCCGGGACCTGCATCTTACTAAATCTAGTTCAAACCTCTAGTGGTCCTGGCCCAAATCATCAAAAGGGAACTATAGTGGCCCTAGCCAGTTTGGCTCAGTGGATAGAGCATTGGCCTGCAGACTAAAGGGTCCCAGGTTCGATTCTGGTCAAGGGCACATGCCCAGGTTGCAGGCTTAATCCCCAGTAGGGGGAATGCAGGAGGCAGCTGATCTATGATTCTCTCTCATCACTGATGTTTCAATCTCTCCCTCTCCCTTTCTCTCTCTTTGAAATCAATAAAAAATTTAAAAAGGAACTATAGTAGGAAGTCCAAATAACTCAGTTTGTTTACCATGTCACCTCTTCCTCCTGTCTCCTGGGATTAATGTCAGATTCAGCAACTTTGTGCCCCAAGCAAAACAAAAATCTTTAAAGGAGGTGGGTTGGGGAGGTAGGCGAAAGTAGCAAGAGTATATAAAATTACATATTTCATTTCTGAAAACAAAGGAGACAACTAGGCTTGTCCCTCATCTATAAGCCTGATGAACGGCAGCTCAGAGACTGCAAAATGTGTCCCATGAACAAGAACAACTAGATGGCTGCTGTGGTCTGAAGGATTGGAGGTCAGCTGACTGCCACAGCCCAGCATCTCAAAAGGAGCAGATTTTCACTTCATACTCGCTCACCTAGTATAATGCTCTATAATGCTCACAAAACACTCAAGCACATGTTATGCACACTTAGCAAGCACAGGGAGAAACCAAAGCACAGTGATCAAATGAGCAAATTCAATGGCAGACCTTTGCATAGCGCTTGGCATCCCAGCCCGTGGTCCTTTGCTCCATCTGAGAAGTCTTGCTCGCTCTCCTCAGAGAGCCTCCTGGGTTACAAATGAAGAGGAAGGGGGAACAGCAAGAGTAAATATGCTAAGCAGAAGTTGAGATTGCCCTCCGGAACTGCCCCCTTCCTTCATCTGCCAGAACTAGAATGTCACTACTGCATATTAAAGCCTAATTCTCTCCCCTAATCGGTTTGGCTCAGTGGATAGAGCATCGGCCTGTGGACTCAAGGCTCCCAGGTTCGATTCCGGTCAAGGGCATGTACCTTGGTTGCAGGCACATCCCCAGTAGGGAGTGTGCAGGAGGCAGCTGATCGATGTTTCTAGCTCTCTATCCCTCCCCCTTCCTCTCTGTAAGAAATCAATAAGATACATTTTTTAAAAAATAATAAAATAAAAAATAAAACCTAATTGTCCAGCATGGAGAGGGGAAGAGGCACAGATATCACACAAAAACAAATATGAGCCAATATCCTTTCTAATATGGCTTCAAAATGCAGGCAGTGCTATCCCAACGACTAAGTGCCACGCTCTGTGCTGAACTCTGCCCAGCTTGGGTCACGGCACTGCACAGGCCCAAAATCTTGACTGGATCACTTTCCCATCTAGAGTTCTAGGCAAGGGAGCTTTTTGTTGTAATTGTTCCTACCAGCTACAAATTGTGGCATTTTCATGTTTTCTTTTCAAACACAAAATAGAGTGTAAAGAGAACCCATAGGGAGAGAGACCTGGATCTCTAGAAGGCAAAAATCGTGCCAGTCACTGTTGGTCATTGGCATCTCCCTGAAGAATTAACAATCTAAAAAGAACTCAATAATCACATGTTTTCATGGACTTAGATTTTTTATGCTTCTTAAAAATGTGGTAGAGTATCAGAAAAAGGAACAAGTTTTCCTCAATATATTCAATAGATGTGTCCAATGGTTATTATACGATGACAACCTGTAAAAAATAAAATCAGTAAATGTGTTCAGCAATTTTTTAAATTAGTAAATGTAGAGGATTCTTATCTAGACTTGATTGATGAAATTTTAATCATATACAATCACCATAGCCTTTGATTGATAAATTCTAAGCTAAAGTGAAACTGTAAACTAGTTTTTTTTCAACATTTTTATTTTTATTTTATTTTTTTAATTAAATCTTTATTGTTCAGATTATTACAGTTGTTCCTCTCCCCCCCCCCACATAGCTCTCCTCCACCCAGTTCCCACCCCACCCTCTGCCCTTACCCCTCCCACTGTCCTCATCCATAGGTGTACGATTTTTGTCCAGTCTCTTCCTGCACCCCCACACCCCTTTCCCCCCAAGAATTGTCAGTCCACTCCCTTTCCATGCCCCTGGTTCTATTATATTCACCAGTTTACTCTGTTCATCAGATTTTTTATTCACTTGATTTTTAGATTCACTTGTTGATAGATACGTATTTGCTGTTCATAATTTTTATCTTTACCTTTTTCTTCTTCCTTTTCTTAAAGAATACCTTTCAGCATTTCATATAATGCTGGATTGGTGGTGATGAACTCCTTTAGCTTTTTCTTATCTGTGAAGGTCTTTATCTGACCTTCAATTCTGAATGATAGCTTTGCTGGATAAAGTAATCTTGGTTGTAGGTTCTTGCTGTTCATCACTTTGAATATTTCTTGCCACTTCCTTCTGGCCTGCATGGTTTCTGTTGAGAAATCAGCTGACAGTTGTATGGGTACTCCCTTGTAGGTAATTGAGTCTCTTTCTCTTGCTGCTTTTAAGATTCTCTCTTTGTCTTTTGCTCTTGGCATTTTAATTATGATGTGTCTTGGTGTGGTCCTCTTTGGATTCCTTTTGTTTGGGGTTCTCTGCGCTTCCTGGACTTGGAAGTCTATTTCTTTCACCAGGTAGGGGAAGTTTTCTGTCATTATTTCTTCAAATAGATTTTCAATATCTTGCCCTTTCTCTTCTTCTGGCACCCCTATAATTCGGATGTTGGTACGCTTGAAGTTGTCCCAGAGGCTCCTTACACTATCTTCATATTTTTGGATTCTTTTTTCTTTTTGCTTTTCCGGTAGGGTATTTTTTTGTTTCTTCGTATTTCAAATCTTTGACTTGATTTTTGGGATCCTCTTGTCTGCTGTTGAATCTCTGTATAATATTCTTTATTTCAGTCAGTGTATGCTTAATTTCTAGTTGGTCTTTTTCATATCCTCCAGGGTCTCACTAAATTTATCGGCAGTTTCCAGAAAATTCTTGAAAAACCTTATAACCGTGGTTTTGAACTCTATATCCAGTCGTTTGCTTTCCTCCATTTCTGTCGTTTGTGACCTGTTTCTTTGTCTCCGCATTTTTTATGCTTCCCTGTGTTGGTAGAGTGGTTTTGTGTGCTAGGTGTCCTATAGGGCCCAGTGGCTCAGCCTCCCCAATTACCTGAGGTGGAAACTCTTGGTGCACCTCTTTGTGGGCTGTGTGCACAGTCTTGTTCTAGTCTTGTTGTAGTTAAGCCTTGATTGTTGTAGTTATCACTGGGAGGAATTGACCTCCAGGCCAATTGGCTGTGAGAATCAGCTGTGTCTGCAGTGGAAGAACTTCTGTGCTGAAGACACCCTTCTGGGGCAAGACTTGCTTCAGTGGGGCTTTGGTGCTCACTGAGTCTGCCCCCTGAGTGTGTCCCTTATGGATCTGAGGAGTTGTAATCTGGATGGTCCCACTCTGACCGCTGGGTACACTGGCTCTTAGATCTAAGGAGGTGCTAATTTAGCCTCTGCCTGGGGCTACCCAGCAGGAGCTACGAAGAGATCTGCAGATTCCCCTTCCTTTTTGGGGGTTTGGAGGTTCCCAGATGAGGCCCAGCTGTGAAGCAATGCAAGCTGCTGTGGGGCCTTGGTCCTTCTCTTGGAAGTTCTGGATCTGTCTGGCCCAGCTGCAATTTGTTAGGTAATTTTCAGATTGCAAAGGGCCAGGGCATTCATATGCAAAAGCCTCTGCCACAGCCTGGGTGGGGCGGGGTCTCAGGGAATCAACAGGGCAGAGCAAACAGCTATGGCTGATCCTCAGCCCTGCCCTAAGGGACCCCGTATCTCAGTGTCCCGATAATCGCTGCAAGCACCTCTGAGAGGTTCCGAGTTCTGCCCGCTGCCAGACAGTCCAGTTTCTCCCCGTATGAGCCCTGGGTCCCCAGAGACTTCCTGGAACTGGAGTTCTTAGCAGTTGGGAGCTTGTGGCTCCCTCCCGATTCAAAAAGACAGCCGCGTCCTCAGGTGCCAGCCCCTTTCCGCGAGTGCGCTCGAGCCTCCGTACCTCTGCACTTTACTTCCACAGCTCCTCTGGGTCTCAGTGTGCTTTTCTCTTTCCTTCTAGTTGTAGAATTTCCACTCAGCCAGCCTTCCTGTAGTTCTGGATGATGTCCGTTTTGTCTTTTCGTTGTATTTTTGAAGTTGTTGTGGGAGGCAGCAATTTCCGGTGTTTACCTATGCCGCCATCTTGGTTTCTCTGTAAACTAGTTTTTTTAAAATGGCAATATAAAGTAACAGAATTGAACCAGCAGTTGGAAGACCTATAGTAGCAACAATGTATCTATTGGAGATCCCCCAGTGCTATTCATTAGTATAGTGGTTTATCCTCTGAGCTGGTGAGCAGACTGCCTGGGTTTGATTCCTGACTCTAAGCTTCTTGGTTATGCAATTTGTGGCAAACCTGATCTCTAGATCTCAGTTTCCTCATCCGTAAATTGGGAATAATAATCATGGAGATGTGGTGAGGATTAAATAACATATTCTCAATATAGAGGGCTCCATGTAGTGCCTCCACACAGAATGAGCTCTCAAGAAATGTTAATTTGCCATGATTCTGAGCTGCTTACTTTACAATATGTCTGTGAGACTCAGATGATGTGAAAGCTTCACACATAAACTATGAAAACATCAACCAAGGTTATCATAATAGTCCTGCTGTGACTGTGGTCTCTGCAGTTTCTTTTCCATAAAACATTCCCTTAGAGCCCCTAATGGCAACCCTTCCTCATAATGTATCTATTCCCAGACCCTTTCCTGCATCTTGAACTAAGGGAATGAGGATGGGAGTGGAGGAAATTAATCTAAAATACAAAACTATGAAACTTTCAAACCTAAATCACAAAATCAAGCAGCAAACTCAAGCCATGTATTTGTCAGCAATGCCTGTCTGTTCAGTGGGAAAGTCTTCCTGCCTCTGACATATGGAACCATTGCCAGCGGGCTCATTCGTGTCCCTCTGTGTCAGGCCAGCAGCTCACCTGCACAGAAGCTTCTGAGCCCACAGCTTCCCTCCGATGGCAAACTCATACCTGTGTCCGTTCCTGTCAGGAATAACAGCAGAAAGTCAAAGAAATACCACTTTCGCATCGTCAGTAAAGACTTACTGAGTACACACAACACACTAGCCATCGTACCAAATGGAATGGAAAGCAAAATAAACTCAGTGTGTCAGCCTCACACAGCTTACTGTCTAGTAGGGAGGCAGACCTCCCAAGCAACCACAGAATGTGCGGACTGCTGAGTGCTGGAAGGAACTGCATGTCGTTAGGGGAACTTAGACAGAGGAGACCCGACTGAAGTGGGGGGCGGGTGAGGGGTGTTCAGGGAAAGCTGCCCTGAGGAAGGGTGGCTTTGCGGCCTTGTTTAGACATCTCCTTGCTAAGCTGGCGAGCTTCCGAGTTGCCCAAATTCCTCTCACTGCAATGCCCCTTCTAACCCACAGGTGTGCAACTGGGTGCTGTGACTTCACCTTGTACCCCCACCCCATGCCTCCATTTCCTATAAACCCAGTAGGCCCCTGTATGCTTCTGTTGTGCTAAACACAGCTGCTTTCGGGATCTTTAAAATAAATATCATAGTTTCAGCCACTTAAAGGAATATATGGGCTTTTAAAATATATATATCCCAACTCAGCAAGATCCCACTGATAGCAAGTCTGAGCTAGATCACTGATGAAAGAGATCTTTCATCTTACTTTAAGTATATTTCAAACCCTCTCTATCTTTGCTCTCTTAACTGCTGTCCCCTGATGTATGTG